TTGCCTCTGGGCCAAAGCGCCACCCTTCCTAAGAAGAAATAATGTATAACTTCTAAAAAAAAAAATTTTTTTTTTACTTACCCTCTCTCATCGCTGAGGTCTCCACAGTCATCATGTCCATCGCAGCGATGAAGATAAAGAATGCAGCGTCCTCCAGCACATAAAAACTCTCCTTCATCACACACCCTGCCGCAGTCTAGGTAAATGATGGTATAGTCATTTATTACAGTGTCCTTTTTTGAATTGAATAAATATTTATCATTATGTCAATTGTTATGTCATCATGTTATGATCACCTTGCTCATCAGACCCATCTGCAAAGCCGCAGTCGAGCTGCCCATCACACACTCGATTGGCCGGCAGACACTTCCCATTGGCGCACTGGAACTCCCCAGTCGGGCACAGGGGCACAGGGGTGACAGGTCCACAGAACTCCTCATCTGATTGGTCAGCACAGTCAGGGTGGCCGTCACAACGCAGAGCCACGTGCAGACATGGTCCACTGAAGAAGTATATAATAAGTTTATCAGTAGATACAAATTTGTTAACAATTTATATTTTATAATACCTTCATCTTGCTTTGTCATCAATTTATTGTTAATTTTAGTAAAATTGTGACAAGTAATAATGTAGTACTTCACTGTCTTTTTTGAACCCTTGCACATATTTTACATTCAGATCGAATCCCAGAGGAACCACCTGTCCCTAATGGCGCCTCCCATGGCAGCATGTGTCAGGTGCAAAGAGTCACACTGCAAAGTTCCCCATTGTGGGACGAATGAGGGACTTAATTAGTTCCCCATTCTGGGACGAATAAGGGACTTAATTATGATTATTATTGATCTTCTGGTTTCAACCGACTCGCACTTTACTCAATCAGTGAAACCTGGGCCTGTTTAGTTGAACACAACAATTATAACCTGCAGGAATTGAAGAAAAATGCACATTATAATCTTCTTCAACGGCTTTTTTTTTTTAAATTTTATATCCATTTGTTGCCACCTAGTGGTAATTATTGTCAAATGGATGAAAGAAGCAAAAATATTTGCTGTAAATAAACAATACCTTTTGGACCAATTAAGTAAAAGGGGATAATTCTCCACAGTATGTAACATTGAAGTGCCGTTAGAGAGCATGAAGCATCAATCTCTCATCAATCCAGCCCCCAAGCTGCCCATCCATGAAATTTCTGGTCCTCTGAATTAACACTAAAAGATTATAGCAGGACAGCATGCTAATGAATTGTGTGAATTTGGCAACACTGATTTGGAGCGTAAGACAGAAATTTAATAATTTATTAAGTGGTCTTCAGTAGGACATCCTTTTGAAGTATTTTAAAAACAATGTATAAATACGATTTCCTTACTTTGGACCGTCGCCACAGCGGAACTGGTCAGGAGAGCAGGTAGATGGACAAACCTCATCTGAACCATCTCCACAGTCATCCTCATTGTCACATACCCACTGAGCGGGGATGCAGCGACCTCGAGCGCATGTGAACTCAGACTCCAGGCATGGAGGGGATGGGGGAGGACAGGCCTCACCCTTACACTGCCACGTACCATCCTCACAGGAGCTGCAATCAAAAGGTTACAAGTTGTGCTACGGATTAGCGACTGTTGCCTAGCTTAAGAGAGCTAAGTTGCTAAATATGTGCATTTCTGTTTATCTAGACTGCATTTTTCAATTTTCTACCATAGATGTGATTTCTCTTTTTGGTCTTTAAAGACATTTTAATCTGTGGAAAAAATTTTAAATAAGGTTGTATAATCAACCAAAAATTTGAGACCTTCCTGCAGTACCTCCACCAACCCCTTCATGGCAGTAGACTCCCTGTTGAAGACCTTTGATGTATTCTAGAGTAAGTGTCTAAATCTTCAAGAACATGAAGTGTTTGGACATTTTTTTACTTTCAAAATGCATCTAGTAGGCCGGATCGAACCCCCTAGTGGGCAGGTTTTGGGCCACGGGCCGTATGTTTGACACCCCTGTTATAATGTAATGTACTGTAGATTAAGACATGGCCACTTCACCACTAACAAAAAAAGATAGGCAATAAAATTGACAGTACTTTTAGAAATATATGGGGAGCCATGGAGACAAGTGTTTGTTATAATCAGCTGATGAACATCACTAATTCTTTCAGATTTGATTTTCAAATGTAATTCTAGAAGTCTCCACATGTACCAAACGTACCAATTTTGGCAGTGTTGAGTAAGGGTTGTTCCGGGTGGAAACATAGAGCCATCCCACTCACAGGGACACTCAGTGGAAGGAACACAACTGTCTCCTAGAGAAGGTAGAAGAGACAAGGACATGCTGATTACTCATATACTTCAAAAATCAAAATATATAACATCATCAATTCCTATTATTACTTATTTTTAACCCAAATTTCAACTGAATTCTTGACGATGTTCTCTGTAGTAACACCATGACATACAACCGGCAAACGTAAACAAAGCCGTCATCTGTGTATAGCACCACATGGCAATGTCTTTGTCCTCTCCACTCACCAACTAGTTAGCATGCGAAAAGGTTGGCAAGTTTTAATGCTGTCGAACTGATGGAACCGGACTTTCTTAATAAATGTATGGGCCAATGGGGACAAAAAAAAAAACTGGTCTCACCGTGTCTCGGACAAAAAAAAAACTGGTCTCACCGTGTCTCACTGTGCCCGCAGGACAGAAACACCCCTCCACACAGGGGAGAATGCCACACTCGGACTGACTACCCCACGACTGAACACTGGGGCAAAAAGAAGCGCAAGCAGGACCGCAGGGATCGTACACCAACCCATTCTCACACTGTAGAGCTGTGGGAAACCATAGACAAAGGAGAGAAATTAAAAGAATTACACACAGCCAGAGACAAGACCGAACGTTGACTTGACCAAAGTTCATCGTGTGAACAGGTGCCACGTACGACAGAGCTCTTGGGACCTCCAGCGTATGTAGACCCCACGGCGGTTACACTCCTCAGCGTAGGCAGCGATGGCTGTGCAGAGACATTCACAGTCTCCTCCGGAGTCACAACTAAATTCACACAGAACATGAATTGCAGTTAAATTAGCACTCTTTAGTGTGTCTGTTTAAATTGTGCGACAGTAATGACCCTATGTAGGGCGTCGGGAGTGGGGTATGAGTGAGTGATTTCGGTAACATCCCTAGTGTACCTCACATCTACCCAATTTTTCCAGCTTGCACTAGCCAATACAGTGATCCCTCTCCTATCGCGGTAGTTGCGTTCCGAGACCCATCGCCAACCCTCCCTAGACTGTATTACCCTTTCCTACACAATTATATGCACAGTAGCAGATATATTTACACTTTACGACCCTCCCTCACATTGTTATCAACCCTCCCTAGACTGTATTACCCTTTCCTACACAATTATATGCACAGTATAATGGAAATACACTATATTACCAAAAGTTCAATATGATGTCGGTCCACCTTTTGCAGCTATTACAGCTTCAACTCTTCTGGGA